TTGCAAAGAAACAGTTTATTAAACGCTTCCCGAAAATTTGGAAAACCTACGAACCAAGTTGCAGTATGCCGTATGGTCCATCGAAAAAGATACAATGATGAACGTCCAAAGAAATTTATTGAAACGCATGAGAGCCTGCGTTAGAATGGATGAAGGTCATTGTGAGCACCTACTATAAAACTTCTTCGAAACGTCCAAATAAATTCGCTCTTTTCAGAGCGACCAAGAAAAATAATCCGCCCTTATCAGGGCGACCAATATTTTCTAACATGGAACTTCTCTTAATCGTTTGAAAAAATGTAAGAACAAGTCAAGAGCCAAAACGCTTTAACTGACTGATTATTCTTTCATATCATGATTGATTTTTAATCAGTGATAAAGTGTTAAGTACTCTACAAATTTATTTATTCTAATTAATATCTTGAAACGACTCATACGATATTAGTCGTTTTACGTCTCTCAAATTGCCGTGCCCTGAATTCTTAAGCCTCACCCAATCACACGCTCGTGTTCGACAGTGCAGTTGAGTGCAGCGCAGTTGTACAATCCTAACCAAAAATCAGTCCACTGCTTGCCGAGTAAACACGTGTGTGTGTTGTGTATCGTGCGTGTCTCTGGCTTGGAGATTGACTTCGCGATGAAGTAATTAGTTGCAGTTACCGAATAATTGCTCGGTGGTGATTGATAGTGATGAATAGAATACGTTTCTCGTCATTAATCGAGTGGGTGAAACGTGAAATTGTGAAACTAATAGTTACGAAAAAGAAAAGTTTCCGTTAAATGCTCAGCTGTGGATTCTCAGTGTTTCAGTGGAAATATAAAGTGGAAATGTTTCAGTGGAAACTTGGAATCTACATAAACCTTGTGGAAGTTACAATAAATAGTGTTTACGCTCCGTTCGTCTTTCTCAAGAAGCTACAACAACACCAAGTCATCGAAGCTTTACAAGGTAAGTGAGTGAGAGAAATGTCGTATTCCTGACAATTCTGAAACTTTTTCTCTTTTTAAAATAGTCTCCGAAGCTTAGTTTTTCAATTATAAAACAAATAGGTAATGAGTAAATGAGAGTGAGAATGAATAAAAGAGAAAGGGAAGGAAGGAGGGAGGGGGGAGAGAGGGAGAGAGAGAGAGAGAGAGAGAGAGAGAGAGAGAGAGAGAGATGTGTCGCGTGTATGTATGTGCAGTGATCAACTGAGTGCCCCGTGTAAAAGCTCGCGGCGAAACGCGCCGTGCGCCACCCCTGCCTGCCTCTTGTACTCGACCCGTCATTCGTTAACTATTTCTTTTAATAATTCAAAAACTAAGCTTCGGAGAAAATTTTGGTAAGAGAAAAATCGTCTTAGAATTTAATCAGGAATTCGACATTTCAGGGACACTATACCTATTCTGAATCACCCTGTATATACCTAGATTCTGTTCATGGTCGTCCACCCCAAATTATAATTGACTCTGTAAGGGTATGCGGCCCTATTCAAACCTCGCGCAGTTTCTCGCGTCACCGCCATCTTCCCTGCGCCTGCGCGTTCGTAGCATTACTTGCGTGCGCAGCGGCTACTACGCTCGGTATTGGTCGCTTGAGTTACTAACGAGGCTCGAGCCCTGTTTGGCTCTCGCCTACCACGTGGGCCTGACCCTCTCCCTCTCGTACCGGAGAGGACCGGGCCACAGTGATGTGCAGTGTGCACACGTATATACGGCGCGGTGCTTGTGTGCGAGAGTGCGCGCGCGCGTGGCCGAACGGACTATCCCCACTCCTACCCCCACCGCCGCTACAGCGTGCGTGCTAACGTTCTCGGCTGGCATCACTGCCAGGCCATACTACGCCTTTGTGTTCGGACCGCCAAAGTAGCCGGACGTGCCGTCGTCCAAGTCGTCCAAGTCTGTATTCTGTATATGTGGTACGGGGACTGTCCGTATCACCGTGAGTGCATTAAAGCCTAACTATATCACTAAAGACTGTGTCTCACTGCTACCAGCCAGAAATTTCGTCCTCTTCCGCTGCCATCCATCTTGACATCCCCTTTCCCCCAGCCGTATCCGTTAACCTCACGGTTGGAAGGGCTATACCCCTCACAGCTCAGAAGTGGGATACCCTGGTCATTTTTCCTTTCCTCGAGTTATCCTTTTGACTCAAATCTCTGTTAGCCTTGTGGCAGTCGACCGTTGTAGTGATTCAAAAATTATACGCCGCGACGTAAAAAGTCCGTTTGTGCGCGTCTATACGTATCCTCGTTCTTTCGGGATACGTCCTACGCCTCCTGGTGTCGCGATTAATCTCGCATCGACGCGCGAGAGGTTCTACGCGTCAGTTATCGCTACGCGTTAAGTGCCGAGTAACACGTGCTTCGTACCGGGTCCGGTCAGCCATCTTGTGCACGCAGCCACGTACACAGGACGTGCCAGCATTCGTGCATCGATAGCCCACAGCTCAGAGGCTTCGAGGTGGACATCCACGTCAAGATCTCCGTTTCCTTCGTCGTGTTTCGTGCGTGTCGCGCATATCTAGTGCGCATCGCGCCGTCTTCTTCGCGACAAGACATTCGTGTGTCGTACGTGTCCCGCATATCTAGTGCGCATTGCGCCGTCTTCTTCGCGACAAGACATTCATTTCACCAAAAATGCCACTCGAGCATACCCCGAGCATTCCGCGCGTTCCTCCAATGTCAGAGCGCACCATGATGAACCTCGAATTGCGTCAGAAACACGACGCTATGTCTCTCAAGGATTTACAACAAGAAATCCAAGATTTTGGACTAGATCCCCGAGCGACTCGGGACGACTGCATCGCGCAGATCACGTCGCACTTAGAGAAGAATGGACCTCTTCTCGATTTTGCCAGCGATAATACACAGGGTGAAACATCATCTTCTCCGGGATATTCTGCATCCCAGACATACGGGGACAGCGGCGTAGCTTCGTTCGTTCAAGCAAGCAATAAGTATGCTCAAGGGCCAGCACCTGATGCCGCTCTTTCACAACTTCGCCAACTCATGGTTCAAGAAATGTTGAAGTTTCAACAAGCTCAGGCAATTCAACAACAGGAAATGTTAAATAAAATCCTGTCGGCCTTCAACAATAATACTACGGGAAAACGATGTCCTACTGGTCAACTAATCTCGTCGCTCGTCCAAAACAGTGACAGATCTAATCCTCTTCCAGCTGACACTGGCCTGCAAGTCCTTCAGTCAGCTGAGAACTCTTCAATAGCATCTATGAACGCCTCAAAATTTTTGGTCTCTCAGATTCCTCAATTTGGTGGAACGGAACCCTTACGAAAAATACACCGAAATTTTTGGTGTTGACCATCAATTTGAGTGTCTCTTGAGGGTTTACCCTCAATTTTGGTGTCATTTCGGGTGTTACCCTTAAATAATTGAGTGTGATCTTCATTTTGGGTGTTATTTTCAGTGTTACCAGTGAATAATTGAGTGTTGGTTGGGTGTGACTGTCAACCTAAGTATGATTTTTTGTTACCCTCAAATAATTCAGTGTAACCTACATTTTTTGTGTCATTTTCGGTGTTACCTTCAAGTAATTGAGTGTTGGTTGGATATGACCGTCAACCTAAATACGATTTTGGTGTTACCCTCAAATAATTCGGTGACTTATATTTTGGTGTTATTTTTGGTGTTACCATTAAATAATTGAGTGTTGGTTGGGGGCGTATCGCCCGTTAGCGTTTGCGCAGAGGAATTTTTGCTCGCTGATGGAGGATCACAGTAGTATGGTCCTTTCACAGATGAGAGTGAGATGTGTAGAAATAATATATATTTACAGTTTATGTACAAGTATATACAAAGTGATTTTAGATTGAGTTTATGCGCCTTGCGGCGCGTTTCCAAAAATATATCTATCGATATATCTACCGAGAAGCGCGGTAGTTAAGATTACGCTCTCGGTAGGATATATGCGGGGCCGTTACGGTCACTCTAATGGGCCCGTATGGGCACTCCGGTTCCTGCTCGGCTTCCGATTCGCTAGTAGTCCAGCCTCGGGTCTGCGTGCCTTGTGTGCGGACTTCAGTGATCGCGGTTTGAGTCGTTTGACACCGTTCCGTGCGTGGTGGAGAGCGCGGTGACGGTGGTAACGGAGAGATAGGCGAGGAAAGGCGCGCTTGAATGTAGCGTGGACTAGTGAAACGCCTCACTCGTAGATTCCACGGGCTGATGAAAATCCGCGGCGGTCTTGTCAAGCGTGGTGGAGATAGCTCGATCCGGTGTAGGCGCCACGGCCGATACTCTATACAGCGTAAGTGCGGTCGGCCACGTCTAGTCGTGGGCTCTGTTGGCGCTGGATCTGCAGTCGCTTCGCTGCTCGCGGTGTTTTCTGCCGCCTGTTTCGGTCCTCCGTCTGGTGGTGCGGTCTCACTGGCTGCTCTCGGGAGATCCTCGATGTTCGGCTCGTCGCAGGAAGGCAATCCGTGTGCTGGTTCCGCTCGGGACTGTCTCCTCGGCGTAACTACTCCTCTCGGCTTGCTGATGCGCATGAGTCCTCGGTATATCACTGTGGATTGTCTTTGGAGTCGATTCGCAGAATTGGCTTATCTCTGCTCCCTTATATACTGTTGCTCACTGTTTTTCACTTCCGAGAATATTGTTATTTTCATGCGGCTTCTAGCGGTGTCTCGTGAAATTTTGCTCCAGGGGTGCCTTTCTCGGATTTGATGTTTTCGCGCGCGTCGCGCGCGCGGGTCGCGAATTGTATTGTGGTGGCCGGGTGGCCGTTCCGTAGGGGCGCCTACGGACGCCACAGTTGGGTATAACTGTCAACCTGGGTTAATTTTTCATTTTACCCTTATCTATTATGATAGTTCAGTGTCAACATACGAGGTCTGTTCAAAAAGTATCGCGAATTTTGAATTTCCGCGGGCTACGTATATTCGATTTTCGATTTTTTTGTGGCGTTATGTTGGTACTCATGTCCCTCACTCATGCTGACAAGTTCGGCCATTTTGAATGTTCAGTTAATTTTTGACAGCTATTTTGCTTGGATGTGTTTTGGCTCGTCTTCGATTTTTGCCTATTCCAAGAAATGGATCAAAGAATATGTATCAAATTTTGTGTGAAAAACAAAATTAAGTGCGCGGACGCATTCCGAATGTTGACTGTGGCATATGGTGAAGCTACCTTGAACCAAAGCAACGTTTATCGGTGGTACAAAATGTTCTCAGAGGGCCGAGAAGATGTGAACGACGAAGAGCGTGCCGGACGCCCGAGCACGTCAATAACAGACGAAAACATTGATGAAGTGAAGAAAATAGTATTGGCCAATCGTCGAATCACCGTTAGAGAAGTTGCTGAGGACCTAAACATATCGATTGGCTCGTGCCATTCGATTTTTACCAATGATTTGGGCATGAGACGGGTCGCCGCGAAATTCGTACCAAAATTGCTCACTTTCGACCAAAAACAGAATCGCATTAACATTGCTACGGAGCTGTTGGACTCTGACCGCGACGACCCAAATTTGCTCCAGAGGGTCATAACTGGTGACGAATTATGGGTTCATGGTTATGACGTGGAAACCAAAGCTCAATCATCCCAATGGAAGCTGCCGCACGAGCCAAGACCGAAAAAAGCGCGCCAAGTTCGGTCGAATGTGAAGGTTTTGCTTACAGTTTTCTTCGATTGCAGGGACGTGGTGCATCATGAGTTCTTGCCACAGGGTAGAACGGTCAATAAGGAATATTACCTGCAACTTATACGCAATTTGCGCGAAGCAATCCGCCAGAAACGCCCAGATTTGGGGAAGAACAAAAATTGGCTTTTGCCATGATAACGCCCCTGCTCACACATCGTTGCTTGTGCGCGAATTTTTGGCCAAAAACAACACACTAATGATGCCGCAGCCACCGTATTCCCCAGACGTGGCCCCCTGTGACTTTTT